ATAAGATCCTACAGGTAAGCCCGGCGTCTCCGCCATCTCCAAGAATATTCCGCTCTCAGAGGCCAGGATGTACCTTTCTCCTTGGGACTTATAGGGTTTAGGGTTTAGGTCTTGGACCTTAGACCCTTAAAATCTTTGGGATTCCCTCCTATTATAGGTACCTACGGGTTAACCCTTAGTGGGGTTCCTAAGTGCCACGTAGCCTCTGAATCCTCCCTTCAAGACCTTACGTTGCGTATCCCTAAAGTTAAGGTTTTGGAGTTTATGGTTACCCCCCCTGAGCCCCCAAACCCTAAGCCATAAGACCCAAAGTTCAAGAGTTTTTCCAAATTTTTGGGGCCCGTCTTAAGAGTTTGTAATAGGGATTGCACGACTTGTACTGTATAGGATTCATGGATTAGGCTTTAGGGCTTGGTCTCGTTTACAGGAGTACTCTATTTTTGAAGACTCCCTTCAGCTACCTGTTGACCCTGCAGCCTGCACATTAAACCTTCAACCTTACCCCCCGGCAGCATGAAGCAGCGGTTACCCTTCAGGTCTCCTCACGCATGATATCCCTACATACGAGGTATAGCCCCACACCTGAAACCTCCAAGGCCCCCCAGCGCCCCATCCTCAAAAGTCTCAACCCCAGACCCATAAAAGCCGAACCCGAAACCCAGCTTCGCCACCCATAAGGTCCATGTATACAACTATTAGGGAATTAGGGCCCCAAAATACCATACTCTAGAAGGAACTATGGGTCCCAATTCCCTAAGGGTTGTATATGGGCTATAGTCTAAACTCCTAGTATCCCCCTTAATAAGGCCTATACTAGTCCCCTATATAATCCCCTATATAACCCCCCTTTCAGGAGTTTAGACTATAGCTCATATGTGGACCCTCTGGGCCAGGTAAACCGTCACTGCACCCCCGAGAACTGTTGGGTGGCAGTCAATGGCAAGGCCAAGTTGTCTTTCTGGGGGGGCTTGGTGATTTAAAGTCTGTGATGGCCGCGCGCACAACCCTTTAAACCCCGCATAAACCCTACAAACCCAATGAACACCATAAATCACATAAACCCTATCAACTCCATAAGCCACATAAAAGCTTAAAACCCTTTAAACCCCATAAACCCTAAACCCTAAACGCTAAACTAAGCCCTAAAAACCCTATACATATATGTATATATGTATATGTATTTAT